TCTTGAATAATGTCCTTCATCAAGATTATTGATTCCATTGGTTGTGATAGGGTAACAACCAGATCATCTGCAAATGCCTTTATTCTGTAATCCTCTTGCCTAATCTTTATACCTTTCAAGATATTAGAGTCCCGTATTGTATTTAGCAAGACTTCTAGTGTTAAAATAAATAAAAGTGGGGACAACGGACATCCCTGTCTTGTTCCTTTTTCAATTTTAAACTCTGTTGTCAGACTTCCATTAATAATGATCTGTGCCTTTTGCTCTTGATAAATTGCCGAAATCGCCTGTATAAATTGATCCCCAAAATCCATCTTTTTCAAAGTCTTTAATAGAAAATTCCAATCCACTCTATCAAAGGCCTTCTCTGCATCCAAAAAGACCAGCACTGCAGGGATCTGTTTATTCTTCTCAAGATATTCCAATAAATCTATTACTTGCCTTACATTGTCCTTCATATATCTGCCCTCGATAAATCCCGCTTGATCATCATGAATCACCTTTTGAATTACTGGCATCAACCTGTTGGCTAGTACTTTCGCAAAGATTTTATAATCTGTATTCAAAAGAGATATTGGTCTATAGTTCTCTGGTTTTTTAAGACCGATTTGTTCTTTTGGTATCAAAGATATGTAAGCTGTTGTCCATGATGGGGGTATTTTACCCCCTTGCTGAATATTGCAAAATAAATCTCTAAGTTGTTCCACCATTTCAGCTTGCAAAGTTTTGTAATACACTGCGGTCAAGCCATCCGTGCCAGGAGCTTTGGCTGTTTTTAACTGTTTAATTGCTACTATTATCTCATCCTCTGTTATAGGATAATTCATTCTTTCCTTTTGTTGATCAGTAATTTTTGTAACTCTTTTATCGTTTAAATATTTTTCTATAAGTCCATTCTGCACCTCCTCTTTAGCATATAATTTAGTATAATAGTCCACAAAAGCTTCTTTAATTAATTTTTGTTGAAAGATTTCTTTCCCTCCAATATCAATACTATCAATAGTCCGTATACTTTGTTTTTTCCTCAATGTGTAAGCCAACCATCTGCCCGGTTTATTAGCGTTACAAAATGTGTTATGCTTCGCATATTGTAAGTTTGTTGCAACTTGTTCCGCCATAAGCATTTGAAATTGGTCTTTCAAGAGTTTTATAGCACCGCATATTCTTTCATCTGTTGGATTTTTAATAAGTAACTGTTCTTTATTCTTTATTTCTATTTCCAGTTCAGATCTTTTCTTTTGTCGGAACAGTCTATGTTTAGAGTTCATGTAAATAAGTACCCCTCTCATATAAGCTTTACTTGCATCCCACACAATTTCAATTGGGGTACCTTTATTCAAATTTATTTCAAAAAATTCTTTCAAATGCTTTTTAAGTTCTGTTGTATTTTTTTCATATCTAAACAAATTCTCATTTAATCTCCAAGAACGTCTCTCAACCTTGTCCATCTCAATTTCTATCCATACTGGGCTATGGTCAGTCAAAGTTCTTGGAAAAATCTTTGTTCTTTTTGTCTTAACAAGTAAATCATCTGTCAACAAAATAAAGTCAATCCTAGAGAAGGATCTGTGTCTGTCAGAAAAAAAAGTATAGTCCAATTCTTTTGGATTATGTATTCTCCAAACATCTTTTAGTTCCATATCTTCTTTCATGTCAAAAAAGGTCTGTGGTAATCTGATTCTAGACTTTGCCAAGCTCTTTTTATCTAATTTAGAGTCGATTACTCCATTCCAGTCTCCCATAATTAAAATAGATCTGTAATCCCATTGCAATATTTTAGTATGTAACATCTTATAGAAATAGTCCTGTTGTTGATTGGGAGCATAAATCCCAATCAGAAGAATTTGGCCATTTGCTGTAGACAATTCAATTGCTACAAACCTACCATCTTCATCTGTTTCTATAACTTTAGCTGTTAACTTTTTATTTACATAAATAACCACACCATTCTTTTTTTGCGAAGTTGAAGATATAAAATGTGTTCCTAGTTTGGAGTTTATCAAATATTTTTGATCTTGAGTTGTGATATGCATTTCTTGTAAACAAATTATATCATTATTAAATTGTTTCAGATATGTAAATAATTTCTTCCTTTTCTGTGCTGAGTTCAACCCATTAACATTCCAGGATAAACACTTAAACATCATCAGCCTCTTTCTGGAGCAAAGAGCAAAATAATTGAAGGTCATCCGAAAGCTTCGATCTTGCTCCTCCCATAGCTCCAGTCTCTTGTGCAGTACTCTTATCTGCCTCCTTGTCTTGTCTTTCCTGTTGTTGTTGTTGCTTTTGTTTAAGTAACTTAGATTGAGCTCGAGTTATACGTTGATCCTTAACTTCAATCATCCGAACCGGGTCCAAGATTGGAGAAGATTCCAGCAGGGGCTCATCCAGAAAACCTCCTTCTGCACCTTGCACTTCTTCTAATTCCTGCTTAGACTGTTCTTGCAGTTCTCGTTGAGGTTGCTTCTCTTCACTCTCTTTAATCTCCAAAACTGTAGATGTACGTGGAGATGGTGTTCTTTCCTTAAGAATAGTAGTGTAGAAGTGCTGTGCCTTCTCCACGGTATTCAAATGGTATCTTTCTCCCTTGTATCTGAAAATTATGCCAACTGGTGCGTCCCACCGGAAAGGTATCTGTAAATTTTGCAATTCCTTAACAAGAAAGCCAAATTCTTTTCTAGCTTTCAGCATTTTAGGAGGCAATTCTTTATAAATTCCAATTCGTGAGCCCCCCACTTGTACAGAAGTGTAAAAGGATTTTTGCAGGATATCGTTTCTTATTTCTCTATCTGTAAAATATATGACCACATCTCTAGGTAATTGTCTTTGTCTGGCCACCCAAGAGTTCACTCTGTAAATTTTGTCTATTTTGTGAAAAACCACATCTGGATTAACTTGTAAAATCTTAGCCAGGGCCTCAGAACAAACTTGTCTCAAATCCTGTCTTTCCTCCTCTCGAATTCCTCGAAGCCGTATAGCAAACTCCATTGCCCTGAATTGTATCATGACAATCTCGTTTTCAACTCTTTGCATTTTATTGTCAACATCAGCAATTTTATAATCATTGTCTTTCATCTTAACATTAACTTCTGATTTAAGTTCTTCAACTTTAAAATCAACTTTCCCAATAAATTCTGCCAGGCCAGATGCCACTTCTGATATTTTTTTGGTCACCTTGTTTTGATTCTGTTTCACCATATCTTTAACTTCATTAATTTCCTGCATAAACTCCTGATGTGATTTTTGAAGTTTATCATCTATCTCCTGTTGAGATTTTTGAAATTTGTCATCCAAAGTTCTAGAAATAAATTCTTTTAAATCTCCCACATCAAATTCTTTTTTCTGAGTCTGTAGCTGTTGAGCAGGGGGAAGCTGCGTTTCATGTTTGTGTGTGGGGGATCCCCCCCCCCGTTGCCTTCCCTTCCTGCTTCTTTGAAGCCATCCTGCCACGTGATCTAGTTTTTCTAAAGAGGGAAGTTCCTTTTCCTTTCCCTCCTGTACAAAGACTTCTAAAAAAGTCCCCCAGATTTGATCAAATAAAGGTTGAAGTAAAGCAAAGTCAAGTATTGAAAAGGGAGAAATTTTCCACTTGTTTCTCTTATTACAAACAAGGCAACTTTGTAGCAACTTGGAAACTTTGTAACAAAACAAGATAACTTCACCAATCCACACTCGCTGGCTCGTTAACTCTAAGGCTGAGCGCCATGTTTTTTCAAAGCACTTTCACTCATTCGCATTTTTCTCAGTTTAAAAAGTCAACAAAGCGCTAATACTTGCATTTCCAAGTTTCAGGATTCAGGTAATTTCGCTGTTTATTAAAGCTGGTTATTTTTGCTTTAAGTTTCCTGCAGCCGGCTTGTTCTGCGAAAGCAGAATCGTCCCACGTCGCCTGGAGTTTCAGCAGGTTGGGAGGGAGCCACGCCTGTTCTCTCCCCAGAAACTTCCCTGGGGGTTGCAGGGGCTCGACCTGTGCCCTGCGATCTCTTCTTCCTCAATCCTACGGATTTGGAAGTTTTCGAGCCGCTTCTTCGTCTCGGAGCGGCTCTACGGGCGGCGGGGCTGGCGGAGCTTCAAAAGGCGCCGCCGTCGCCGAAGACAGGGAAACCGGAAGTCCCCGCAAGGCTGCCATTCTTGACTGAAGACTTCTAGTCACAATCGGGGATCTCCTGCCATCCATCTCTTGGGGGTTCTTGCTGGAACCTCCAGGCATCTTGCTTCTGCTGGCTTGGAAGCATTGCCTCAAACCATCCTCTGCTACCACTTTGTGAGGGATCTCATGAAGATCAATGGTTCATTGAGGGCTTTTCCAAGAAAAGGCAGCATGCAAGGATGCAATCAAGTTGAATCTTTATGTAGAAGTAAAGTAGAGTAAAATGAGTTCCCTGGCATGGAGGCATCCATGCCTGGACTGAGTCCTGTAGGAAGTTAGAACAAGAGCCAAAGAGCAGACCCTGTGCAGGGGTTCTTATAGGGGCCCCTCTCCCCTCCCTTACCAAGATGTGTGAGGGGGCCAGGGGGGCATTAATTCTCCCCAATGGGTGCCTCTTTGCTCCCACTTGGTGGCCTTTTAAGAAACCACCATGGCTGGCACAAAACACCTAACACGAGACTTATTTGTCAGAAGTGTTTTGCCACCTCTTGGATCAATCCAGGGGCCCCCAGCCATTCCCCCTCAGGAAATTCATCTGGATGGAGCCAGGGAAGAAAGGAGGTCCCTGAGGGGCTGAGGTCCCCTGTGGAAATGGGTAAGCCCCATGACTGAAACAAAGGGTGGGTTTGAAAATAGGGAGTCGGGACTGAGACGGAAAGATGGAGGGGAAGAAAACCAGGGTAGCACCCCCTCACACACCCAGAGAGAATAGGGAAGGCTCCCTGAGGCCCCAGCATGATCTTTAGCTGTGGAAGTTCCCTCAGCTTCCCTCACAACGGTGTGGTGGGGAAAGGAACAGGGAATACTCCTGAATATTAAACAAAGAAACAAGCAGCAAAAGTGGATTTTATTTGTGATGGGGGGGAGGGCAGATGAGGCAGTTTCTGGGGCAATTGGGATGTGGGAAAGGAAAGAAGGGAGTGGCCACACAGAGTGACATGGACTAGCCCCGTGGCCACCTTTTGAGCCCTCCCCCCAATAGCCAAACTGATAATCATCTTCAGTGAATTGCCCATGGAAGCAAGCACCCTTGTCCCAAAGAACCCTCCTGAAAGCCATCAAAGAAGACCACGGACATCTGAAGCGAAGGAACTGGGGAAGGTTCATCAGTCGCATCCATCAGTTGGGTTTGACATGGAGCTGGGATGTCTTGCAGGTGGTTGTGGTCTCCTCTGGGAGGCTGGCAGGAATCGGACCAGCATCCTCCTTCCTCCAGCTGCTAAGTAGAAAGCAAAGTAGAGGTTGAGCTTTAGTAGACAGGATGGACCAGGAGGTCTAGAAAGCAAAGGGAAGGGAAGGGAAGGGGAGAAGGAAGGGGAGAGAGGGAGGAGGGAAAAGGAAAAGTTGGTTTTCACAGGAGGGCTTCTTTAAAATGGTACCTTTTCTGGATTTCACCACCAGAAGAAGCCCCAAACAGCCAAGAAGGAGAAGATTTCCCACTTTGCTAAGGCACAGCAGGGCCCAGAGAGGCAGCCTTGAAGGGTTCTTGGTCTGTCCTGAAAAAGAGTAACAGCCCCTGTTAATCCTTTCAGGAGGCCCCAGAGAATGGAGGTGCTTGTCTGCATTTGCAGCAGAAGAAGCACTAGGCCCAGGCAGATAAGCAGCCCCTGGAATGGGACATATCATTCTGGCTGGCTGGGATGTAGATTTTACTCCCCTTCCACGCCAAACCCTCCTTTCTCAACAGGTCATCTTAATGTCTCTGGAACCATTCATCATAACAAGAGCCTTGGTGGCACAGCAGACTAAAGTGCTGTTAAGTAACACCAGCTGCCTGCAATTACTGCGAGTTCAAATCTCACCAGGCTCAAGGTTGACTCAGCCTTCCATCCTTTCGAGGTAGGTAAAATGAGGACCGGATTGTGGGGGCAATAAGCTGACTTTGTATTAAAAAGAACACCGCTTTGGGGGGGGGCAAAAGCCCTACTAAGCAGGTCTATACAAAAGTATGAAGGCTATTGCTTAACGCATTGTAAGCCGCCCTGAGTCTCCGGAGAAGGGCGGCATATAAATCGAACCAACCAATAAATAAATAAATAAATCTGTCTCCAAACTTCCATTTGGCTGCTCGCCCAGCCTTCCACTTGCTCCCCCAGATCACTGTGACTCCAGGGGGGACAGGTTGATCCTCTGCTTCTGCTGGGGCTCGCTGATTCTTCCGTCACTCTCTCCCTCTGGAGCACGGGCTCTTGCTCCAGCTTCTCAGCCCTCTGTTTGGGCCTTCGGCTTGGCTGCCACTGGGGTCTCTTGAGAGGAGTCTTCCCTTGGCTTCTCCCGCCCTTCCATTTCTTTGTTGGTGCCAAAATCTTGAAACTGCCAACCTCCTGGTGGGGTCCAAGTGGGCTGCTATTTGGAGAGCTGGTTTGATGTCAACTGTCCAGTGGCAGCGTGGAAGCTTTCTGGAACACTGACATCCACTTGGCAAAGCCAAAAAAAGACATTCCCGCAACATTATTTTACCAAGAATATAAAACTTTACGGAATAAACCACATTGGCACGGAAGAAGTGAAATCAGCTCTGGGCTTCCCATGCAAAAGCGAGCATAGGTCATCCCCCACTTTTCCCACCGGCCACCCACGGTCCATTACATCCACCAATAACTCCTGTGCATTTTGTTATGGGAACCAGGCAACCGCACTGGGACATCTGCTTGGGGTGGGAGCAGCGTCTCATGGGATGCCATTCCCCCTACCTTTGCATTCCATTCCACCCCCTCCCTTTTCTTTGTCAAGCTGCAAGCAAAGCAGAATATAGGTGGAAGTATAAGTCAGTCTTGACACGCACCCAGACTCCGTCAAGCAGCCAGAGCAGGTGTTACCAGGGTGCACCAATCTGTACCCACAGTTACTTGTGCTGACCCCCAGTGGATCAGCTGAAGCTCTTGCACGGTCTTCAAAGGCTTGTCCCAACACAAGTTGGATCAGCATGTGTGACAGTGGCAGGAATTAGTGTGATTGTCACATGAGATGGATGTATGCTAAGCCCTCCTGGGCACAGCTCAACACAAGCCAAGAGTCCATAAGGACCCCTGAATGACACAGAGGTTAGGGAAGTGTGACCCCATGGAAACAAGATCCCTGAATCTACTGTCACTCAGACTTGCTAGGACTGAGCCTGAGCCTGATCCTTCCCATCCAGACCTTGATAATCCTCTCCAGTTACATGTCACACAATGAGAGTTTGGAGTACTGCCTCAACCCCTTTGAGTCTCACATACATCCCTGCGATTTGGCACCCAGATGTGTGTGTGTGTGTGTGTGTTTGTGTGTGTGTGTGTGTGTGTGTGTGTAAAAGAGTCCTCTCTATTCTTTACTACAATACATTTGTTCATATACTGGAGGGACACTGCCATTCTGGAGGGAAGGGTGGGGCGCTTGGAGGGAAGTTCTGTGATGTGTCTTTTACCTTGCTCCTGGGAATGGGTGGGGGGGGGGATGAGCCTGGGACCATCTGTTTCATCTCAATTCCAGAGGAGCCAGACTGCTGTGCCTGAAACAACTTCTTACCACCTTCTCAGCTCGGAGTTCCCACAACTTCTTCACATCTTGGGATTGGCTCCCACTGCACCAGACAATTGGGAGGGTTTTTGAAAAGTGACTTTTAACCTAATGTTTCTGCGTGGGGAGTTCAGATCCTGCAATTCTCCATGTTATCCCTCTCTACCTATATATATAAGGATGTATGTATGTATGTATGTATGTATGTATGTATGTATGTATGTTCAAGCATAACTCTGGAATGCCTTGAGCAATTCCAACCAAACTTAGTACATAGATGACTTGCCCTCTGGAGACAAACACTGTGGGGGTAAGACAGCCCTAAAGCCCCTCGGGGTGTGTGTGTGTGTGTGTGTGTGTGTGTGTGTGTGTGTTATAGCATAACTCTCTGGAGACAAACACTGTTTGTTGAATGTGTGTGGCCCCTTTTCATCCCAATTCTCAGCTGCCTCTGTCCTGCTGCCAGCTCAACTGGAGGTGTCCAGAAATCAAGGGGGGAATTTGGCTTTGGAGGCAAGGGTGACCTTCCTGTGTCAGGCAGAGACTGACCCAGAGGCTCTGTTCAAACCCCTTTTTCCCATTGTCTCATTGAGTGCAGTTTGCAAAGGTGATACTAGCCAGGGGAAACATGTAGAATGGAGATCAGGGCAGACTCTGAATGGGGAATGGCCCCCTTTGAGAGGGGGGAGTGTGTGAACATGAAAGAGATCATATAAAAGGCTGTTCCTTCCCGGTCAGAAGACCCATGTGTGAATCTAAGATAATCACAACAATCAACACAGGAAAGGAGAAGAGGGGAAGCTTGGCCAGGAGACCCTCCAATCCCAGACATGAACAGAGATCAATCAGGAATCTGAAAGGGAAATTTAAGAATTGCTGGAAGGAAGGGCAAAGGGGTAATTTGCAACCCCAGAGGGGACTTCTGCTGTGGTCAGGAAACACAAATTTCGATCATGAGTGGTGAAATATATAAAGCAATGGAAACAGTCCCACTCAGTGGTCAACCTGTGCCTAAGGAAGTGGACCAATCCACTAGGCTCCGGTCATAGGAGGAGAAGTGGTCGCAATGAGGCTCCTTTTGATTCAAAAGTCTCTTTCATGGAGAGAAAAACTTACCAGCACAAACTTCCTTTAAGGTGACTGTCCTGGATGCTATGCTATCCTTGCTTTCTCCCTCGCAGGTGACTATTAGTTCAAGGTCTTGGGAGGTGAGCTCCATCACAGAACTCCCTAAGGTTTCATCCGTGGCATAGAAATCTGAGATCCATCTGAAGTTCACCTCACCTTTCCAGGTCTCTTGAGAGCAAATCAGCTGCCAGGTTCCATTTCCAGCCCCCTTGGAAATGCAGGTCAGTCGTAACTCAGAGTCTGGCAACTTTCCTGAGCAGGAGATGGAGAGACACATCACATTGTGAGAGACCACAAAATCACAGTGAGGCCAGAGAGGAAGGAGAAGCAGCAACGGCATGAGTCAATCCATAGATTTGCTTAGATTAGAGCAAGGAAAATACGTCTCATCCATTTCTGTCACAAGTAACAACACCACAACAATCCCCCCTCTCACATCATAATGACACATTATGGCCACCATGATACAGGAGGGCAGGCACCCCACACCCCACCCTCTGCCTTCCAGCAAGCCCTCCTTACACCAAACCAGGGATTGAGGGCACGAGGATAACCTTCCAGGCTCAGGGATCCTCAGGGACCCCCTGACTCTTCCCCCAAAGTCTTTGAGGTTCCAACCAGTCCCACCAGATCCACAGACAGACTCCTAAACTGCCTCTCTGGAGATCCCAGTTTCAAAGCACACCAGCCACTCCCTGCTACCCCGTCTGGGAACCCACATGGTCTGGCCAATGCAGCCTATGCCCCTGTGGGAGGGAAGCCTGGAGGGAGCTGTGACGGATCCCCATGGTCCCACTTCCAGAGGGAAGAGCATGCAGGACACGGCTTGAACTCCATTTCTGACCCATCGTAGAAGTGCAAGTCCTCAGCCGAACCAAATCTCCTGGTGTGGAAGATGGGGGGCAGGGTGGGACAGGGAGCAAAATGGTAGATTTGTGGAGGGGCGGGGGAACATAAGCAAGGCTCGGCCTGATCAAAACATCTTGAACTAATTTGCATTGCAAAAAATGGACAAAGAGCTATCCAAAAATCAGCTCTGGGCTCCCTCCAAAAAGTTCATCTCTGCAGAAACTGGATACCTAAAGATCACCCCTCAAAAGAAAAGCCCCCCACCCTTCCACATCAGCCTGGGCAAAGGAGGGAGGCCAAGAATTTGCTGCCATGGCTGGGATACTTACTACGCACCTGCAGGTTAAAGGACTCCTTTGCAGTTGTGTTTTGTAAAACAATGTCTGCCGTGTATGTGCCAGCATCCTCTTTCTTTAGATTCATGAGAACTAGTTTTTGGCAGTCCTTAGAGACCCACAATCGGTTTTTATAGGCTGCGTGGGAGCGCTGGAGACGACATGGTTCCCGAAAGTTCACCACAGCAATATTTATGGAGTTTTTGCCGATACCTTTACTCCAGTAAATATTTTGATAGGGTGGAGGTTTCATCAATCGGAAAGTGACAGAGTACCCCAGATCACTATACAGTTCTTCTCTTCCACAAACTCCTGCAGGGCCACAGAAAACGTTCAAAGTTGGACCACATGACTTTCCAAGAATCTCATTTCTGACCCTCAGACTCCCAGGAAACCTTTGTGAAGAAAGACTAAATGGCTCCAGGATAGAGGACTGTTGATGCATTGCCCCCCATCTTCACTCATATCTTTAATAAATCACTAGAGATGTGTTGTGCTCTTTCTTGCTTCAAATGCTCTACTATCATCCCAGTACCGAAGAAACCCTCCATCAAGGAACTGAATGACTTCAGACCAGTTGCTCTGACATCCATAATTATGAAAACGTTTGAAAGGCTCGTGCTGGCCCACTTGAAGACCATCACAGATCTTCTGTTAGACCCCTTGCAATTTGCCTATCGAGCAAATCCTACAACATCTTGAATCTCCAAAGACCTATGCAAGGGTCCTCTTTGTAGACTTCAGCTCAGCATTGAGCACCACCATTCCAGATATTCTTCTAATTAAACTGATTCAGCTAGGTGTGTCTGACCTTGTAAGTGGATCACAAGCTTTCTATCGGACAGGAAGCAGCAGGTGAAGCTAAATCACATCAACAATCACCTGTACAATTAGCACAGGAATTGAACTCCTGACAGTGTTAACAGAGTTAGCCTGCAATACTGGTTTGAAAGCAGTATTGCAGGCTAACTCTGTTAACCACCACCATGGCAAGTCCTGACTTATGAATATTCTCTATATCTCTGTACAATTATTGAAATACTCATTGCCTGTCTTTATAAATCAGCAGGATTTTGCTTTGAAAAACAGTGACAGAAGTATTGTTTCATTCACTGCAACAAAAAATTACATCAACAGAAAATTATAGCAGAGATTGATATTTTTATTTACATGCTCTGGATTTGCATTATTACTACAGCTTGGTCTGACATTGGGTTTTTAGTCCTATTAATTGAGGCTGTACTGTATCCCCACCCCCACCTCCAAATAAGAGACATTGTTTATAAAATGACAAAAAATGAACCCATGTTTTATAAAGGCAAAGAAATAATTACGCTAAAGCAAGTACCTAAGAGAATAAGAGAACTAAGAAAAGAATATTGGTTCCTAGCCACATTATTAAATAAACGGCATATACCATTTAGATGGATAATACCGGAAGGAATGGTGGTGTCGTGGCAAGGGAAAAAAAATAAAAGTGGATTCACAGCACAGAGCACAGAACCTGCATGACCAAATGATGGGCATAGAAGGAGCAAATAGTAACAGGGAGGAACCGGAACGGAGGACTAAAAGGACACAAAAACAGGAAGAGCGAGAAAAACTACTAGAGGAAGGAGATAAAGAGGAAGAAGGGGAACCTCAAGAGGAAGAAGGAGTGAAAAGAAGAGCTAAGAGAAAGGACAGGAAGTAATAGGAAATATCGCATAGTAGAACCACAAAGGAATGGAACAAAATTTTAAAATCTTATCATTAAATGTAAATGCTCTCAATTCTCTGGCTAAACGACATCAAATTTTTAGAAAAGTGATAAAACAAAAAATGGATATTGTGTGCCTTCAAGAGGTACACATAAGAAAACAAGATGAAAAATACTTATTACGTAAAAAATTAGGGGAATCATTTGTAACACTAGCGGAAGAAAAGAAAAGAGGAATAGTGGTGTACATTAGAGAAGGAATAGAGTGTAAATTGAGATATGCAGATTCAGTAGGAAGAATATTGATGATAGAAGTAAAATTTAAATATAAAAGTATGTTATTGGTGGTTATCTATGCGCCGAACAGTGGACAATTAGAATTTTACAAAAAAAGTACATCAAAAGATAATAGAAGAAAAAATAGGGAATATATGTTTGATCGGCGATTTCAACTCAATTGTAGATGTAAAAAGGATTATAGCAGTGATCAGAGTAATAAAAAAAAGAAAAATGTACTGCCTAGAACTTTTATGGATTTAGTACAAGAAGTGAATTTAATAGATGGTTGCAGATTTTATAATTCCGAAGTAAAGAAATTCACATATTATTCTAACCCCCATAAGTCCTGGTCCAGAATAGACATGGTTTGGGTAACCAAGATACTTATGCAAGAAATAGAAACAGTAGAAATAATGGCAAATAACTGGGCAGATCATAACCCTGTAATGTTGATATGGAAAGGACAACCAAGGAAAGAGTAGATGGACGTTGAGCCCACAGATACTGAAGGAAAAGGGATATATAGAGCAAATGAAAAAGGAATTAGAATGATTTTTTAGAGATAATACAAAAGATCACACCTCTCTTCAGAACCTGTGGGACACAATGAAAGCATATGCAAGAGGATTAACTATAGCTTACAATGCAAAAGGGAAAAAGAATATAGGAAAAAGGAAGAGATCAAAAATTGGGAAGAAAAATTACAAGACAAACGGGGAGATGAGCAAATTAAAGGTAAATGGATAGCAGCTAAACATAAATTGAATATATTGGAACAGGAAAATTATGCAAAGACATTGAAATTTATGAAACAGAATCATTTTGAACATTCTGAAAGGCTTTTGTTTACGGGACTGGGAGGTTTTCCAAAATTGTTCCAAAGACATGACAAGAAGCAAGGAAGAAATTGACATCAGGAAATATATTTGAATTGAATGAGCCACTGGAGTCTCCTTTGTTGGTGTTTAATTGAAGAGAATCAATTTTGTTAATCTGAGAAGTGTCATTACTCATTCAAGTAACTTCATCAATCAAAATAAAAAAAAATAGTTAGGCAGAGAGAATCGTTGGAATGTACCAACATTTTATATCTCCACAGACCTCACTATAAAGCCAAATTCATTTGTCCCAGTTCTCATGTCAGTCAATCATCCCAAAAGAGGAGAAGCCCACCAACACTGACGTAACTACTCTTCTCTGTATCCTCCCTCCCTCCCTTGACTATTTTCTTGCTCTGCTCTGCTTGATATTCCCTAGTTTGGTCATAAAATGTCTGCAAAAAACCCCACCAAGCTCAGAGCACCAAGAACCCCACAGCTGCCCTTCCTCTTACTCCTCCTTTTCCTCCGTTCCACAAACCCCACTTCCTTCCAGCACTGATGATGTTACTTAGTTGGGTCATAAAATATCTGCAAGAAAATTACCAAACTCAGAGAGCACCAGGTTCAGCTCTCACTTATGAATATTCTCTATATCCCCTTTGTGTAATTATTAATAAATTTATCACCTGTCCTTATAAATCAGCAGATTTATAAATCAGTTTGAAAAACAGTGAAAGAAATATCATCTCATCACAAGAAATTGAATCAACAGAAAATTATACTGGAGTTTGACATTTTTATTTACATGCTATGGAGTTGCATTATTATTAGAAATTGGGTCTTTAGCACTGTTGATTTTTAGGCTGTGCTATTGAGTAACATATGAAATCCACCTGTAACATATAATTGTCTTTATATGACTCAGGTTTTGTAAAGAAAAACAGGAAATTACAGAGTTTGTAGGTAATTTTCAATCTTAGCTGCTTTTTTTTTTTTTGAAGTTCTTCTCCAATTCAGCTCTTTTGGGTGGAAAGCAAAATTCCTCCAGAGTTTTGTATCTATTCCAGTAAAGATCCTGACTGGACTCAAGGAAGCAAACCATATTTTGAGCCCCAATTTCAGTCCTGGTTTGAAATTCCTTCTAAAATTTCTTCTGAAATTCTTCTAAAGCTAGAAATACAATTCAGTATTCTATAAATTCTATAAAGCTAGAGAAACACAACTTACCAGATCTTAAGATAATGACTGATAACCACAAGCTGATAATGCTTTTGGATGACATGTCAGCGACTTGCATTTCAAGAAGAAGTATAGTGAGGCAAAGTCTAATTTCTGCAAAATATAAATAGTCTGGTTAATTTGCATAATATTCTAATGAAGGTCTTTACTATATTCAAAGCGCTACAGCCTCTCTTTGACACTTTCATGGTGGTAGTATCGAGGACTGCCTCTTCGGTGGAAGAGAAATTGCAACTGCAAAATTGTGTGAAAGAACTCTTGCAACAGTTTATTGATTGAGTGATTTTAACAACTGATAAACGGTTGGAAGGGACCTTGGAGGTCATCTAGTCCAATCCCACACCCAAGCAGGAGCCCCTATACCATTTCTGACAAATGGCAGTCCAGTCTCTTCTTGAAAGCCTCCAGTGATGAAGCTCCCACAACTTCTGTTCCATTGGTTGAATGTTCTCACGGTCAGAAAATTTCTCCTTATTTCTATGTTGAATCTCTCCTTGTTCAGTTTCCATCCATTATTCCTTGTCTGGCCTTCGGGTCCTTTGAAAAATAGCTTGACACCCTCCTCTCTGGGGCAGCCCCTCAAATACTGGAAGATGCTCTCCTGTCTCCCCTGGTCCTTCTCTTCACTAGACTAGCCAGGCCCAGTTCCTGCAACCGTTCATCATATATTTTAGCCTCCAGTCCCCAAGTCATCCTGGTTGCTCTTCTCTGCACTTTTTAAAGAATCTCAATATCCTTTACAGATTAACAGAGTTAGAAGGAACCTTGTAGGTCATCTAGTCCAACCCCCACCCAAGCAGGAGACTTTACACAGTTTCTGACAGGTGGCAGTCCAGTCTCTTCTTAAAAGCTTTCAGTGATGAAGCTCGCACAACTTCCAAAGGCAACTTCTGTTCCATGGGTTGATTGTTCATCTCAGCAACTCAGCAATGGTGGCAAGAAAAGTGGTAAAATGAAGCAAAATTCACTTAACAACTCTCGCTTAGCAACAAAAATTTGGGGCATAATTATGGTTGTAAGTTGAGGACTACCTGTATATATTTCGAATAGTACAGCAGGTAGCATGAATGGGGAACAAGCCTCCTTCTCCCTACAAGATTGCAATTCATGAAGGGTCTTGCTTATTAAATAGATTAATGTTTCACATCTATCAATAAACATGTTATTGATGTTATTGTATTAGACTACTAAACATTAATGTTATATGTTCCCATC